ATCTAGATAATTTTCTAATGGAAAGTTGTGCTTCGCGCGTGATGAGGGATACGATAGAACGCTATCTCGTGTAGGCGCATTTCAATCGCTGCGGGCCGATTTTGCGACACACATACGTCACAGATGTTACCTGTGAGATAAGCACGCCGGAAATGCGTCAGAACCCGTTATACTTCTCACGTAAGGTCACGCGCGACCGGAAAATTTTCCAGATGCTCATTCGAATCATGATTTTAAACTTTTCGAATCATATCAGGCGCGAAGAATATAAGGTAATTATTCAGCATAGGGTCTTTTCTAAATTATCATTTTTTTTTTTTTGCGGCAGTCTTGATGAAAACTTTTGTAACTCTGACAGTGTGTGTGTGTGTGTGTGTGTGTGTGTGTGTGTATATGTGTGTATAATAATTAACCGGAAAACTTCATACAACAGTACAAAACATTGACAGCTCTATTTGGATAATGGAATATACAGACGCTTTCTCTCAGTACACGAACAGAGATCCACATAATGGATTGCTATAAGGCTGTTTTGAAGCTAAAATATTTTTTGTGGATGTGCAACAATGATACAATCATACACAAGCATAATAAGTCATTATTATTTTTTAATATTGGTTTTTTTAAGGGCCATTGTACATTTGTAAGTCGGAAAATCCAAAAACATATATATATTGAAAATAAATAGTTAAAAAAAATTAAAAAATGTAGGTTACATATTTGACATTTCGTAATTGATTATCATTGTTACAGAGCGAGAATGACAATAAAGATTTTTAAGACTGCCGTAAAAAAATATAATTAAAAAAAGTCTGTATTCTGAATAACTATATACTGAATGTAATAATAAAAATTCTTCTAAAATATGATCGTATTGATAAAAACGCCCATTTACAATAATTAATCAAAGTTCGAACCATGGCTGATATTAATATTTTTTTAAATAAATTTCTCGTAGATTTATAATTATATGTGGTTATTATAAGTCATATTAACTTGATTATAATCATTTATTAATAAGATATTTTACGAACAGTAATCGGTTCAAAATTGATATGAAAGCAAAACAAAATTTGCAAAAAATTAATCCTCTGGAACTAACATTATAATCACTGATCTGTAAAATCCATTCAATTTATATTAATTAAATTATTAAATTTTGGAAAACTAAAATAACCTAATCTGCATAAAAAAAATAAATGCTAATATATTTTAGTGTAATAAATATATTATCCAAATTTGCAAACGTAATATAAAGAAAACTGTTTGACATTTTTAACAAAGAGATTTACTGAATGGATGAATAGACTCACCATCAGCCCTGAAAAGTTAAGCATCGAATCTCGTCCGAAAATGTCAATATCTATTCATTCTTTGTTATACACACAATATCATTCGTTACTTGCTTATTAAAAATGTGAAGGGAAAATATATGCTTTGTTAGAATAAAGTTAAAATTAAAATAAACTAATGTCAAGACTCTTAACATCACACTTTGTAAAACATTACATTCTACATAGGTACATTCCGTTTTGTTCATAATGTTGCTTGTGACTATGTACGATAAATTCAACATGCGGGGAAGGAAGAAACTGAACGAGAATTCGTTCTTATTATAGATCGGATTGTATCGATCCTTTTGATATCAATACAGTAATTTTATGCAACAAAGCGTCTAGAGTAAACCCTACCGCTATTACATTCATTATTTACGATCACGATACGTACACACGCGAATTACTATGCGCTTACATTTTCCATGGAGCACGTGTTTACCTCGTATGTGACAAATACGCGTCCACGTGTATCAACGTGACGGATGTGGTGGCCGGACGCAATGTGGGGCACAGTAAGGACATCGACTTGGGAAAAAAAACTCTCAGGTTTTGCATTGCACTTACGTTGATTTTAATATACTTTTTTTATCGCTTATTTATTTTGTTACTTGTATACGTCCTATAATTTATTTATAGAAAATTGAAAGCTGCGACAAATATTTGGACAAATCTGCAGCTCACCGAAAACGACGAAAACTTTAATTTTTTAACGTGTGGCATATAATCGTGAATCGTCTACATGAAAAATATGTTATAATACACTATTGTAAGGACAAAAAGTACAATTGCTATAATTTATAGTCATTTTTGCTGCCAAAATTAACAATTTGTTTGGTAGAACTATATAAATATACAATTATTATTACTAAATAATAATTATATTTATATATATTGATGATAATAACTTAATAATGCGATATTATAAATAGTAATCGATGCATGTTTCAAAAGCATATAAAATATATAATTCACAAAAATTGTTATTACACACAGAAAAATATCATTCTACTGTTAAGAAAAGCGTTTTTTTCTTTTAAGTATCAATTATCTTTAACAAAAAGTATTTTCTTGATATGATGGTAATCTTAAAATATATTTATTATAAATTATTTTGTTTTGAAGAATATTTTTTATAAAATTGACTGAAGAGAGAGAAACGAGTTTATGTAATAAGCAAATAAAATTTGTTTTAAAATTTCATAATCTTCATTAAAATATTAAATTTACTAGATAATTCAAAATATGTTTTGAATAAATTTGGTACTCATGATTAATTTGTAATAGATTTACGGATATATAAATTTTTAAAATGCAAGTCATTATTAGTTGCGTAGAGTATGTAGTTTTCTGTATGTATAAGAATTCTAGTGTGTAATAATAATCTGTTTATATTGTGTTATTATGATATTCTAATCAGAGTGTGACTTAGCTAACACTTAGCCAAATATTTTTGAATTTCTTGACACTTGCCAACTGGCTTGCGAGTTTCCTATCATTCTGTTTGCGACTAGATGCCTCGGACAGCACATCGTAGAATCATTTATATTATACACATAATCAATATTGAGTAGCGAGCACATTTCAATACAGTCCACTAATATTATAAGAAGTATACTACGTATATCTACTGTTTGAAATCATTTATTTATTTCACAAGAATATTGATAAGCTCTTATCAAGAAAACAACCAACAATTATTAAGCATTAGATTTCATTTCAAGCCTGCAAGGACAAGCTTATATTTTTTTTTTACAAAACACGATATTTTAACCGCAAAATATAAATTTAGGCAGATTATACGTGTGAAAAAATATTTTTGCGTAGCTCGATTAATATTGTTTAGTGACAAAAACGAGAAAGATGTTGAAATTTTATAAATTCCGACAATATTGATCGAGAATTATTTCGGGCGCTCGGAGCTATTTTATAGAGGCGAAACAGATGTATCGCAGGTTTGAAAGAGGAAAGGGGACTATTTGGGACCCGATGGGGTCAAGGTATACAGACGGAACAACCAGCGGCATCCTGGTCTTTCGTTGAACCAAGACGCAAAACCAGCTTTCTCGCTGCAGAAAATATCACTTTCAAAGTTTCTACTCATAACAGTAACGTCAACGCAAATAATTCACTTACTTCATATTCATAATTTAAAATCGTTCAATAGACAGATATTTGAGAGAAATCAGTCAGGTAAGTATCGAAGTGTAATATTTTTTAAATTAATTCTTCGATTTCGGTTTGTACTCAAAACATCATGCACATAATAATCATACAAGAACAGTAAAACATGTTTTTTTAAGTCAAGGGAGCTTCCTACAAATTTATATTTTTCCTATTAATAAATAAGTAAATTGAAGATAAAACTCAAGGATACGAAAGTCTTTAAGGAAGGATGCTGACGCTTAGCACATCATATCGCCTGTCGTTATCCTTTTCCCTTTCCTTTCGTTTTCCCCGACAGCTTATAGTTTACTTTCTAATTGCAGATAATAGTACATGCTGCAGTGTTTTGCTTCGTACTCTCATTCAGGTATCCAACAAGGCGCTTGACCCATTGTGCTCAATATTGCTGACTAAACACAAATTTCCAGACATTTTCCATTTATTTACTCACAAAGCAACGCAATAAGTAGGCGAAATAAATCAACTATCCGAAGAAATCGTAAGAAATAGACGAATAAATCAGAGAAATTTTAATTGGAACAGTCGAGTAATCGAAGATTTTTGTAATTTATTGATTTTGATAAAGCAAAAATTCTATTTCTTTTAAGTATCACAAGTTTTCGCGTTCTTCTTGTAAGATTCGATAAGTTCGCATAAATATATCTTCAAGCAATTTAATTTTACTTTTTCTTATGTGACGTTTAAAATATTGTAAACAAACGCATAAAAGCGGTTTGCGCTATCAGTTAGTTGACGTATTTACTTATATACATACGTATATACATACGTATATACATAGATACCAGCTTCATATGTCTGTTTATCTTGAGTGCTAAAACACTTTCGCGCGAGTGATGTACTCATTCGTATTATTTATCAATCTAATTTTGGCGGTAGGAACTCAAAATAATGCTCGTGACAAATTTGAGGCGCCAAGCTGGCACCGCATAAATACTTCTCTATTCCAAAATCATCAATGAAAAAAGCTTTCCTGTTCCGAGATATTTTCTACTCCGAAATAATAAATAAGAACAGTTTTCTTGCGCCAAGATACTTCCATATTTCAAAGTCATCAATAAAAAAAACGCTCTTTCTTATTCTGAAACATTTTCTTATTGCAAATTCAACAGTAAGAAGAGATTTCTTGCTTCAAGATATTTTCCCGCTCCAAAATCATCGATAAAAAAAGCTTTTTCGCTCCGAGATACTTTTCCATTTCAAAATCAACAATAAACAGAATTTTCTTCCTGCGAGATATTTTCAAAAATCTTCAATAAGAACAGTTTCTCTGCTCCAAGATATTTTCTCATTCTGAAAATTATTATGAGTCTTCTTTCTCGCTCCAAAAAAATGTTGCTCCAAGATCACTAATAAGAAAACCTCTCGCGTACGCGCAGCAGCGAGAAAGTGAGATAAGGCGTAATATATTTAACTATTCAGCGATTATTACAAACTCTCTTATCCCTATATACAGTCTTTTTTTCCTGTTACTTATCTTACCGAACAATCCAGAAACTGTTGCCAACCGAGTGTCTATCCGCGTTCGCACCTGCCCGGGTCCTGACCGTTTTCGCGAAGTAGCGCAGCGAGAATGATCTTCAGCTACTTTATATTGCAAATAACAGTATCTAGACAGTTAACATCATATCTTTTACAAGACTTCTTTTTCTCTCTCTTTCTCTCTCCCTCTTTCACTTCTCTTCTTCTCCCACCGCTCAAAATCGTTTCTCTCTCTCTCTCTCTCCTCTCTCTCTCTCTCTCTCTCTCTCTCTCTCTCATACTCTCTCGTCGAGACAGCCACTACGTCATCGTAAGGTTCTGGCTCCGAATGCCTTCCTGATCTAAATCCCTCGGGAATAAAGCGCGAGGTCAAGAAAGTGAAGAGACCGAGAGACTCACCGGGTCGCCGACGAGCGTCACATCTCCGCACCGCGTAGGATGTTGCTGACTGGCACCTTCTTCCTCGTCGTCGTGATCGTGATGATTGTCGTCGTGCTGGCGGTTTTTTTCCACTTCGCTCCAGCACTCCGGAGTAATCCGACTCAGGCTGGGATTGTGATCTTTCTCGTCCGAAGTGATATCACTGCGCCGCGGAGGACAAAGCCATCTTGAAGAGGGCACGCACTCACAAACGGCACAGCCTGCCTCTGATCGCGACGGTCAGGTCCTCTTGCCAGGACAGGAGGCGGCTGAATGAGAACACAGCGCGACGAGAGAGTAGGCTACGATGGCGCCACAAGTCGATTACTATTTCCGCCATTGCTACCGCCTCCGCCGCCATCGCTTTATTCGTTGCTGCCACCGCCGTTATTTCATCGTTGCTGCTATCACAATTGCTGCCGCCTTATCTCAGTATTGGTTACGATGGTTACTAATGGCATGAAGGGTGTAATAAACCTTTATAAACCTTTCGCGCGAAACATTAAAACACCGACGCTGACAAAATATGCTTAGGAAGATTCAAAAGATTTTGAAATGATGGGGTTTGAATGGTCAAGGGATCTTGAAGAGAAGTTTCTATCTATAATCGACGAGCGACGCTACTTCAAAGGCGGCAGTTTTGAAATTGCGAGTAGTTTACATTCTCGGCAATCTACTTCTTTAATAGATGCGATGAAAATGGAATAGAACGTAGATTTTATAGAGTTTTGCAAAGCTATTTTTACTTAGATTCTTGTTATTAGCATCTTAAAATATGCACACAGAAACATATAAATATTGTATTTAAACATTAATTATTTGTTTGAAGTATTTCGAAAGTCCATATATTTGCAAATTAAACGTCAAATTTGTTTAAAATATGTTCTGAATCCTAATAAGTTTAATACTTCAATTAACAATTTAAAACAAATTCGATTTGCTTATATAAAGTTGCTTCTTCGATCAATTTTATAAATACTATTCGAAAGAAAATAATACTTTTGTTTGAGTATGAGTTTTTCTCTCTTTTTCTAAAATTACTAATAAATATATTTTAAGTCCATTATCAAGAAAACATTCCTTGTTAAAGATAATCATGGACGTAACTATGGGGGATTAGTGGAGTGCAGTGACCCCCTAAATCTTAAAAATAGAACAAAAATACTCGTGATTACAAAATATTACACATTTACGAACTGTGCTTAATTTCCAAAAAATTAATTTTGGACAAGAAAAAATTGGAAGTGAAGTCTATAGAAAGATTTTCTGAAAATTTAGAAATGACTAGTGTTTAAAATTTTAAATTTTCCCAATTCGAAGAATAAGTTCACAATTTCAAGAAAAAAGTAAGGTAAATTTATAAATACATTGTCATTTTGATTTACCTGCTATTAATTAATTAAAAATGGTAATATAAAATAAGTTCATTAATGCATACCACTTAACTCTCTCTTCACGAATTCAAAAGTCTTAACTCTACTTGGTTCCCTTCCCTACACAAAATAGCTACGCCTATAAAGATAACCGTTACATAAAAGAAAAAAGTAAACTGAGCAGTCATTTTTCTTATCAGTAGAATGATATTTTTCTGTGTATTCAAATTTTGTTCGAAGAACAAGCTTAGAATAGTCTGATATCTTCAAAAAGAATGAACAGCGAAAAAATACAGAAAGAATATTCTCATTAAAAATAGTAGAGTTAAAAATAGCAGAAAAAAATAATAGAAATTATAAAAGTTTGATAGAAAACATAAAATAAACTGAAGCGAAATATACGTAACATGAAATAAAATAAATTAAAATAAATTAAAATGAAATAAAATAAATTAAAATAAATTAAAATGAAATAAAATCTTTAATTAAACGTAAACTTCTCTAATAGTTATATAATTATATAATTCGTCGGACATCGAAATGCGATTTTCTTAAATAGATTTTATTTGAGAGCACTAAACAATTATTATCTACATTCTACAACAGGTATATCCTCCTTGTTTTCCTTGAGACGCTTCATCTTTGCTTTGCCCCTTCGGCGAAAGAGGGTGGCGTCGCAAGAAAAAAGAAAATCGCACGATATCTCTTACAAATAGCACGATAAATAATTTTCATTTTCCTTCCAATCCCATGTTACTCTTTCGCCTCTCATCTCATATCGCACTCTTTCACTCGTTCGCTTTTCAAAGCGAACAAATCCTTGGCACATTGTATAGTAGACTCTTAAGTATATAAATAAGTCGTAAGTCGATGCCTCGTTTAGGTTATTAAATATATATATGTATATGTATTGTATATGTGTATATGAATATTCAATATCTTTATGTTGTATATACGACTAGAACTCCTCGACACACGTATCACATACTAATATTGACTATCGTGTTTCAGGACGAGACTCGGAAGCGCTTCGCACCCCGAGTCTTGGCGACGTTCTCGTTCTTCCGTCTGATTCGAAATCTGAAATCCTCAAACATCGCAGTTCCTTTACCTTCGTGAATCTCAGATGAACTTCCGTTGTTGACTCGACATTTTTAAAGCAGAATTCGACAAAGAGAATTTTTCTTTAGAAGAAAATTCTACACTTTTCCATGAAGAGAGTACATGACAAGGAGTTATTAAGTGATTGGGATGCTATAGGCCACAGTACAGACTCTTGTATAACGCATAGTGCATAAGAGAATCAATCAATCAGAAACCTTTTTTTCCTTTCATATCACGGAGAAAAAGAATTTTGATTGGTTGATTCTCTTATGCATTATGCGTTATGCAAGAGTCTGTGCTGCGGCTTTATCTCTTCGAGGATCGACTATCGGATGAATGAAAACGGCGCCATTGTCTTATTGCTGCATCATTGACTGTAAGATCGTGACAGTATTAATCACTTAATCGCTAATACTTTCGCAATGCTTTCATCCAGACTTCATCTGGATTCCAAAGTGAACTTACTTACTCCACTGGAGGGAATTGGTGCTACTTGAATACACCATACATTTTTTTTTCGCTGAGAAGTTGTTTTCTTAGATTCTAAATGAATTATATATATATGTATTGTATACATATATATATACAGGATAATCCTTAAATATTCTAAGAAATTTAAAGGATAATTTTTCGAAATGAAACTTTATATGTCCAAACCAGTTCAATTTCAAAGATACAGGGTGTTAAAGTTAAAGAAATATTTCGTTTTTTCAAAAAATTTCAAAAATTACTTGCATTATTCTGACGAAATTTTGAGGAAAAATCTTTTTCTGCAACTTTAACACTTTATATCCTTCAGCTTAAGCCTTTCGGATATATATAGAAGTCTTGAATTAATGTAAGAAATCATTCTTTAAAATCTTAGAAACTTAAGGACTACCTTACGTACATATATTATATATAATTCTTATTTTCAGCGTTTTTTTAAATGTCTCAACTTAATTTTTGATTCAAATGTGACATTTCTTTTGTCTACTACAGTTTACTTCAATCCTATCGTTTGCACGAAAAATAAAATTGTACGATTCATTTTTTTGTGTTTTGATTGGATAAATAAGATACTTAATATTTAAAAGGTTAATCTATTCTCTCTTTCTCGTGGGGTTATTAGCACTTTAGTAATACTCTAGTAATTAATACTTTCGTGTTCAAAGGCGTTTTCATTCTTGAAAGTATCTCTTATCTTCATCCCTAAAAATGCCTTCGCGTATTTCCATTATCTTCAGCTCTGAAAATCTCGTTCATTGTATCTTAACATTAATTACCGATCGTCATTTTGTTGCTTCTTTGAATCGTATATCTTGCTATTCGATCTTTTTGACGTTTTTATCGATTTAATTGCATGGTTCAAATTCGCATGCAATCGTTTCATATCTTTTACGGAAGAATAAAAAAGAAATGAATCCCCGCAGGAAAAAAAAAGGACAAAAAATATTGACTCCTTAGTTCGATTCTCCGCTGGCTACCGTGCCGTCAGTCGGAGGGCCGGTCACGATCTGAGGTTCGCTCGCGGGTAGTCCCTGCATCTCTTGCACCCCTTGGAACAACTTGCCGGGAAATCCCTGCAGGAGATCGTAGGAGACCGGCGTAGGTGGCAAGGCGGTGGTGTGCGCGTGCGGTGATTGCAGGACGGCGATTACTCTTCGGAGCTCCTCCAAGGCGTTTCCTGGACGAACACATTTTTTATCTTCAGTCGGTCCATTTAAATTCAATTTAATTTAGAATTCAACAACGAGAGCAGACACGGGGTTTTCGCATCAGAGGAACTTGTTTTACCTTGCATAAGGATGTAATTTTTCGCCAGCAGGAGGGTGGCTATCTTGGACAGCTTCCTTACCGAAGGGCTGTGAGCATAAGGGATGACGGAGCGAAGCTCGTCCAGTGCGTCATTCAAATCGTGCATTCTCCTGCGCTCTCGTGCGTTAATGTTCAACCTTACGCTTTTCCCCTGACGAGTCGTCTTTGACTTCGGAGGGCAGTTTAGTCGAGAACCTGAAGGTCTAAAAACAATTGTTGGACTGCTTATGTATCAATAATATTAACTACATTTCATTAAAATATTTTTTGCTCTTTAGAAACATATTTTATCAAATGTGTGTTACGCTAATTGATCATACACTTATTTTCACGGAAAAAAATGGTTTTGTTGAAGTATCTAAACGGTCAAACGAGTAGTTTTACTTCCGATTAAATTAAAACTTTAATTTAGATCGTAAATGTACCTTTCATCTGGCCGATTTTCATCAGATAACGCGCTCGACGAGGCGTGGGGTTGCGGCTGCTGCTGAAAATAAAAGCCACCGAGACCTACGGTACCCAGCGGAGTTCTTCGTCCTGGTGCGCTTTGAGTGTGCTCTGATGAGTACGCTGCTGGGGGACCTGACACACCCGAGTGCGAGGCCCCTGGTGTCGAATACACGGACTCGAGAGCTGCCGCGGATTGTGGAGGCAGTGGATGCTAGAAAGAAGTTTTTCGTTAGAATTTTGAATGAGAAATATATTAATATTTAGTTTACTCAGTTTATTGTTGTTTGAAAAATATCGTTATTTTGTTTCTTTAATTGCTCAATTTTAACTATTTTGAGACTGCGATCTAATTATACGGATTTTAATGAAATTAGTTTTTTTTATATATAATGTAGCTTATAATATATGTGGTGAATAAATGATGCCATAGACACAAGCTCAATAATTGATCATTTTTAAGCTATGGTGTATCAAATATGTAAAACTTGTTTTCACTGAGTATTCTTTGATACACATTATAGCCCAAAAACTATCCATTATTGAACCTTATATCTATAATATCCTTTTTTACCAGAATATCAGGCTACATCATTTGTAAAAATTAATTCATTTCACAAGAATCCAGTTTTTATATAAAATTAATGTTGGATCTCTTGCAATTATCCATGCGAGATAATCAATGGATGATATATAAGTGTTTAATCAAAGACATGTTCTTCATGTCCTTACTTACGGCATTTCGATGCTCCCAGGCCCAGGTAGGATGTGACGCGGTACGTTGCCAGGATCCTTGCTGCAGATGCGCCTCTGGTAGGCCCTCCCTGCGATCGTCGTCCTCCGTCGAGCTACTCTCGCCATCATAGGACCTCATCTCTTGCGAGGACACTTTCCCGATTTACTCGGCAAATTCCTCCTTACTCTTCTTGTCCTCAATCCCTATATTTGCAAATTTCAATATTTTATACTTTTCTCTAAATATATAAAAAGATTTTGTTTAAATTCATTTAATTAATGATAAGCATATATTTGTTTTGAAATTTTTTTGTATTATTTCTGTACATTTCAATTTATTACTATATGGATACAAAAAATGCAATTAAATTAAATTTCAATCTATTTTTTATTTAATATATTTCTTAATTTGAAATATTTTGGCACTACTCTTTTCGCGAATAATTCACTTCATCTCGCTGAAACTCATTTTATTTAACTTTAAAGTTTTCACACTTTTAATAATTAATCAATTCTAAATTTATTTTATTACTACATTTCTTTCTGAAACTTCTATGTTTCTTTAAAAAAGTTTCAGAAAGAAATGTAGTAATAAAGTTTTATTAATACGATAATTTTACTTTTTGATGAATTTTTCATCTTCTTATAATAGAAATCTTATATAATAGAATCTTATTCCCTATAATAGAAAGATCTCTATTTTCATTTCTGCATTTTTCTGTTAACGAGCACCGCTGCCATTCATATAGAAGGGTTGCAGGCGTCATTGTTCGTTCTAAACGCAATCAATAGCAAGACACTTACCGACGACGATTTTCTTTTTTCACCCCCCGCGCGTGCCCCCGCGGGGTGCAGAATCCGGCAATCAGCAAAGTTTCTCGCGCACCAGCGCGTAGCGCCGGGTCATCCCTTCGTCCGAAAGTTTCCGCGTTTTCTCAACGACCAGTTCGAACTCTCACGAATCCCGATCCTAAATGGACTGCCGTAGCCTCCTATTGTTCTACCGTAGTAATCACCCAACTCGGCCAATCACAGCCATTTTAATTTGCTGGGGTAGTCTTGGTGGTCGACGAGAATGGAAAAAAAATTCGTGAGTCCTTCGGGGAATCTTTTTGTAGGAGTTCTGTTTCGTGAAAGTAATGCTTGATCAATTCTTGAGTTTCGCGATGATGATTTCCGATAAAATCGTCCTTGACGAAATTATCGGCCCCCGAACACAGGCGTCAGGGGCACGCACGCGTCTCTCCCTGTTGTTTCGTGGATCCTGCGCAGAAGAGAGCAACCCCCGAATTAATTCGACCACCGTGTGCCAGGGTGCGCCCGTTACGATCGGAGGATGCTGCGCTGGACCATCGACTGGCGTACCCTGGCGGGTATAACCAAAAATCGTCCCTGAGAACATCTTGTTACCATCAGAAAAGGAAAATTATTTCCAAGAGAAGTCGCTAGTTGCCAGAAATATACAATATTTTACGTAAAGACCCCTTTTATTTCTTTAAATCTTTAACGAGAGTTATTCATGAGAAATGTAAAAATCTCTTTCACAGTTATAAAAGTGATTTGAAGTTAGAAATTGAAAAGAAAGTTGAAAAATGATAGTTTGAAAATTAAAAAGGAAAATGTATTGTCAAATGAAATGTATATCAAGGAAAAAGTTTACTCCATAAACTTGGCCCATAATTTTTAACAAGAGAGAGTTACTCTTGAAATCATTTCTATATTAATTATTATATTTTAGTATAGTCTATCCACTTTTACTCACGGAACAACGAACAACCAAATAAATAATGACTACAAAATATACATATTTTAGTAAATATATTTGATGTAATTAATAAATACAGTAGTATTTATTACATTATAAATACTGAAATACAATATTTATTATTATTACATTTTATATATCAATATTCTGTAACATACTGCTGTATTTTATCTTTTCTTCAAAATCTACATATTTATTATTATATTTATTGCCACAATGAACACAATAGACCTCCCTCTAGACCCTTCGCTATCACAAAGAAATTCACGTCGTTCCCTCGATTTTACCGTAAATTTTTCTTCCACTTCTTCCTCACTTTTTCGCCCGATCTACCGTGTGTCGCGCTTACAACTCGCCGGCATACATCGTCGTTGAATACGATTAACGGACACGCGTTAGATCACGGAAAAACACCGCGAGCGTCGCCGGGGATGCCGAGACAATTCGGCGACAGCCATCGCCCTCTCTGTGTGTGAATCACCCCTTTTCTACCCTCTTGAGAACGTTTCGTCTATGTCGTACGTACGCGAACAGACGGGTGACCCCGGTTAGTTTTACTTTTGTGTCGGCTGCATACGTGATGTGCATGTGGATGTGTTTGCGTGCATTTACCGTAAACACAACGCGACGTAATAATATTCCGCGCTGCCGAAGAACCGTGACGCGGGACCAGCGCTGAGACGCCCGCAACTTCGACATCGCATAAATTAATCGAAGGGGTTAAACGGGGTTGTTTGCGCACGTACTTTATTTCGCGGCCTGGAGAGGATAATTAATGCCGGCGCGCGAGTATTTGGAGATGACTAGCGGATGTTTTATGGGTGAAATATTATAAATTTCCGGAAATGCATTTGAAAATAAATTCCCACGCGCATTTAAGCTAAACCAGAGGATACTGTCGCTATATGACATATTGGAATTAGATTATTTCTATTGTTAATCAATATTGTCATATTTTAATTATACAAATGTATTAAAATATATACAGTAAATAGAAAAAATAATCATATAAGGAAGATTTTTATAAAAAAATACTATCATTTGTAGAAAATATTAATTATTAATTTATTAACAATGAATACATTCTCTTTTAATATAAAAGAACTTTAGGAAAATAACCGTGTTTATGATCTAGAGGCTATGATCGAGAAATTAAATTTCTCGACTGTGCAAATACACTTTTTGTACATCCAAATATAATATAATTTTTTATTTTTGTTTATTATTAAGATAATATAGAGCTTAATTATATACATCTTCTTAGATAAAGTAATTTTAAGAAATCTGCAATCTATTTTATTTTTTGTTAATAAATTGCTAAAATGTTTACTTTCTAAAAATAAGATCTGTCTAAAAGATATCTCTCCTGTATAAATATTCTTTTTGCACTCACTTTATTAAAATATCAAGAATATATATCAAGAATATTTCTAGACTTGAGATAAGTAAATAACAATGAAATAAATCTTTGATAAAATATTTTAGAAATATATTTGAATTACTAAATAAATTGAATTACTAAATTCTCTTGCGGTACTATTTCTCGAAAAACCTATGAATGTGTTTTTATTTTAAACAAAGTGACTCGGATAATTAAGTCTTCCTATTACATTTTTGGCTCGAACAAGTTTAGTAAACGTTAAATTAAAACGAACTCTTTATAGAAGTAAATAAAATAATGAAAAATGCCAAAAAGCACATACTCAAAGAAACATAATTGTTTAAATAAGAATTTTAAAATAATGAAACAACTTCAGAATATTTAGTTTTCTATTCTTTCGTAAAAAAGACTTGAGACTGAAAGAGTAGAATTATTGAGAATACATCGATGTGTTTCGCTTCGCGATGTACGCGCGAAATCTTTCTAGGTCGGGCGGCAACCATAACGCTTGAAGATTTATCGTTTCCCTCGTACTGAGAAATATCCCGAGATCTCGAAAATAATTATACGAGCGCGTCTGCTTTTCTGTACTGCGCAAAATTAATCATGCCTGCACATCCAAATCCATTAGGGAAGCATAAAGTAACTGCGGCAATTAATTCAACGAATAATATTCTTATTTATTTTCGCAATAAATTCTTTGCAGTATTTTAAGACACTTATTTACACAATTTTTTAAATTGACAATCCACGTAATGTGACATTATTTCCAGCTTCAATTTATAATTTTTAAATCTAACTGAACGACACAATTTATAGAACTAAAGAAATGTGCTTGTAAATTTACATTACGAATACTTAAATAAATTTGAAAATTTAATTTATGAGTATTATTAAGCATTAAGATCCGTTTTATAAATATGGGATTTTTTCTCTTATTTGTGTTATTCTTATTCATGATTTTAAAATTCTCCTTATTAGTGATCGTCTAAAGTTACAATATATGTAAATTGATCTTTCAGGTCCATAACCTTTTTCCTAATAATGTTAATAATGTATTATATTACAATTTCATTTTACCTATTATCATTATTTTTTTAAATTCAGAAATACCATTTGAATATAGAAAATCTCCAAAAAACGTATAAATACTATATATATTTTATTATATTTAAATATATTATTTTAAAATAAAATTATAATTATTTTACTTTATTATTACATTGAAGCTGTATATACTTTTCTGTATAAATTTTTCAAGCGAAGTTTAAAGAAATGATCTCAAAATGATCATATAAATGCTACTATTATCATTTTTCCCATAACTCTTTTGAAGAAGCAGAATATACTCGTATTCCATTTGTCTTAACGTTATTTGTTTATCAATTTTATACTTCCTCGACATAAATTCGAAATAGCTTCATAAATCTGCCTTGATATATATTTAAACATCATCGTTGTCACTCTTAATAATATTATCAGAAAGCACGATCTGTCCTAGTTATCTTCTTCCGTTAATATTACATTGCATTTTATACATTCGTCCCATAAATCTCAAACAGGTCTAAAAGACTTGTTCTAAAAGGATTAAACACAACCGTCGTCACCTCACCATAACGTTATCAGGAAGCAGGCTTTGTCCCAATTATTTCCGAAAGAAAAGGAACGCGTCGATGAACGACCGGAAGGAATATCGAAGAAGACTGGGAGGGAGAAAAAAGGATCGTACATGAGCATCTATCAGACATATCTATCAAGCGTATAATATCGCTCGGTATGACGACGTATAGATTGCGAGACCGATGATAGACAAGGAAAGATAGACAGATAAATAGATAGATAGATAAATAGATGATAGGGAGAGAGAGAGAGAGAGAGAGAGAGAGAGAGAGAGAGAGAGAGAGAGAGAGA